TAAACTTCTGCAAATAAATTTATAAACAAAATACGAACAAAATAATCGTCTTTTAACAAATAAATTAACATGATTTATACATATTATATATATTATATACATATTATATATGTATATATCCAGTTTAATATAATTATAGCGGTTTACAAAATAAACGTATAATGGTATATTRTGCTCAATAACGCAATGTTGTTGGATGCATCTTTTAGAAATAATTAGACATACCTAACTATTTGGAATGTTATTATAGTACCAAATACAGATCTATATATGTTTGAATACATATTTTTCCAATAACGTGTCCGTATAAATTGTGATGTTCTAAATCTCGTAATAAAAAAAAATTGTATTTCCAAATAACAATATGTTTGTTATTTTAAAAGGTGATACAATAAACACAGGCGTCATTTGGAGAAATCATTGTACGAAAACACTCATAAGAATGAAACTAACTATCTATGTCGATGTAGCTTTTCTTAATAAAAACTAAATTATCGAATAAAATCATACACCAATGTATCGATTATATGGTGAACGAATAACGATACAATAAGTACCTATTTAATTTTTTTTGTTTCATTCTTATTTAAAAGTATTATGTTTATTTAAATTAAAATGATAAAATAACTATATAATTTATACTTAACGCGAATGATGAAAAGGAAAATATTCATAAAAATAGTTTATCAACAGAGAAAAATTCATTTTTTTTAAATCTGGTTTATAACACAGTGAAAAGAATTGTGTAGGTAGTGCAAAATAAAATAAGGAACGTTATATTATATACAGACTTGGTATCATATTATTTTTCATATTTTATTCTTCATCTTTAAAAATACCTATACTAAATAAACCTAGGAATAAATTCGGCATGCAGAAGCAAATTACCATCATCAAAATATTGTTGTATACAGTAATAACGTACAATATGACAATTGTAGATGCATTRAATAATAAAGAAACAACTAACGGTTTTAAAAATAAAACTTGAAATTAGTCGATATGTTCATACAATCGTTGAAAATCTAATTGCATATTAAGAGTTTGATAAAAATATAATTAGATCAATTGTGTTTAAAAGTAACTATAATTATCAAAGAAGCAAAACATATTAAACAGGTAYATCGACATAAATCGAAGGGATGCTTGGCAGTCTAAGTCCTTCCCCCCACTCACATCAATGTTAAAAATTTTAATCTCCTCCCTGAAATTGTAAAATATTTCACCTATGCGTAGGTACCTACTAAACATCAATTACCTATAGACAAGGAATGAACTATATTAAATGATAAATTTCCAATTTTCATACTTAATAAAGTCATTGAACATAATATAAAAGTTAATCATTTTTAAGAAAATTATACTTACAGATAAAAAAGTTTGGAGGTGTTTTTAGTGCACATTGCCTAACAATTGTATTAAATGCCATACGATTTCATTTAATACGCATGTATTAAATTATTATTATAGGTATATGTGGGTTTATTATCGTGAAATACCATATTATTATGTTTATTTTACTCAAACTCATCATTATTTTGAAAATTGGATTCCACAATACGTTTTCTCATGTAGCTTTTATATTGTTCAGATTTTACGATATACGGAAACAACATTCCACATGGTGGTAATGCGTTCCACATAGAAATTGAATTTATACAAGTTCCGGCACGACTATTGGAAAATTATTCAAATGTGACAGAATATTCGATGAAGGGAGAAACGCATTCGAACGATTATGTACGTAAACAGATCTATACGGCATATTTTGACGAATTTCCGCGTAAAATTAAATTCAGGAAGTTAAAATAAAACGAACGATCTATCATTACACCATTTCTATATACACGATCATGACATCAAGATCGAATCACTTGTAGTTTTGAAATACTACAAATTTATAACTCAACCATTTCCCGGTTAATAAATTATCTATTTCGAAAGCTATAGATACATTTGAAGTATTGGGATGCGTAATGAACTGGTCGGATTAAACAATAACACATTATATGCGTGCCTGAGGTAAGACATACGTTATAAGTTTTTTTTCAATCAAAACCGCTTACATAGGTACTGAAAACTTTTGAAACAGAACTGTAATATATTTGGAATAGCGTTAGGCACAACAAACATTGAGTCTTGGACAAACATTATCAAACGGATACGAATCTAGAAATTGGTATTAACAAAGATATATATGAAAAAAATCATGTTAATAATGAATTTAAGAAGAAAAAAATGACGAAAATGGATACCAATAAATTGATCTATAAAAATTTAAAATCATATTTTTAATTTTAGAGTATAATATTATATAATATAGGTACTAAAATAATATGTTYCATACATTATTATTTTTTTTTTTAGGAACCAGAAAGTAATAATAAATGGAAAATACTAGGTAGCGAATGACTATAAAAAAAGTTAACATATTGTAGTGAAATTTAGGGACTCTAAGACATACACTTCAYTTATGAAAAACTCAGAACCCTTAAATGTTTATTAATTACCTACTTTAAAAGTTTCAATAGTTTTGAAATATGAACCGGTATTTCTATTGTACGTAAATTTAATATCTTCCAGTTAATTTAAAAAATAATACGCTAATTTTCTGTAAAAAGTGTTTAAAAAAAAGAAGTTAAAAAAGTTTTTAAAAAAGTGGAAAATAATATTATCTGTGTATACTAAATTTTTTTATTAGATAAAATTTACTATAAACAGATAAAAACCGATATTGGATACCGGTTAAAACAGTTGAAACTCGAAATAGATTTCGAAACAGAAAACGAAATCAGAAAATAATATTTTCGTTTTCAAGCACTATCCTTATCTAGAATATTGTATTAATAAAGTATAGCTAACTGTATTTAAAATTACCTACGTAAAAACAAATTTAATGCATCTTTTTATCGAGACGTATTTTTTTASTTTTGTCCTCAGATTTTTTTTCCGATTGACGTTGTTATCGTTGGTATATGGTGTATAAATAACCCTTACATTTACTAGAAATAGTAAAGTATGAAAATATTATTTTTTATTTTGGTGCATGGTGGTAGACGGTAGTACATAACTTTATATAATAAATACGCAGCTAATTTGCTTGTATATATACTCAACTTTTAATGAGCATCTAATGTAATAAAATTTAAACAGAAAATTGTAAAAACCTATTTACACAATAATATATTTTGTTTATCTAGACAAGTTTTATACCTGGAGTTAATAAATTATCAGCACACGGTGTCCTTTTTTAATTATATATATATATATATATATATATTATGTGCGTTGGTTATTTGAATTTCTTTTACCCTTTTTTTTTGTTGAGTAGAATAACTTTTTCGCACCAAACAACTTCCATGAACTTTTGAAATTACGTAAAATTTTATCGAAAGATGCAAATTATCGTGTTCAACCTTGGAGGTARCATATAGGGAAAAAATCGGAGAACATATAATTTTAATTTTTTTTTTCGTTTATCTAATTAACTCGATTTTGAAATAATACAAAATAAACAATTTTGTTCAAGAAATAATAATTAACATATTAGTTGATCCAGAAGAATACCTAAATCCAAATACCGTATACATTACCTAAGTACATTTTCTGGGATTCAATCAATTGCATTCGACTTTATTCCAAGAGAGACATTTAAAAAATAATGAAACAAATAAAACGACAACACTATTCAAAAGTAAACAATGTAAAAGYGATTTATCATTGTATTGTAGCAAGAACTAATAAAGTGACCAATGAAACACAGTATTGTCGACTATCTTAAATTAAGATTCGTATCAAATTAATTAATTATCTTGGAGTTTTATTTTGAAGACATAAAAAAATAATTTTAGTAATAATAAGTAAAAGCAAAGGAATAAAAATAAATAAAAATAATAAGTGTGGAAAATAGATGGRCCTTACTTACAACTCTAAACTTTATTACTTAAACATAATTAATTCGAGATGTCATATTTTTTTAAATATAAGGTTGAAGGTTCTGTGTGACATATACAACGTAGTGCGCCGTGCGTCGTGCGTCGTCACACGATTGTCACACGATAAATGCATAACGGATAGCTATATTAATCACGGCTTATGTGTCTTAAAGCTTAAATAATACATTTWAAAAAAAAAACTCCTTGAAAAGTTAAAAAAAAAATGTATGAAACGTTTAGTGCTAGTATACAGAAAAATATATAAGATGTATTAAACACGTTAAACACATATTTTCTTTCCACTCGTCAATTAAAATTGATCCAACCAGAAAATTATAATATTTTTGTGCAATAAAATATTTGATTCACTTAACATAGTAAAAAAATAATAATATTCATTCGTTTGATGAATACGAAATTATTTTTTTYTAATTATTTTATGTATATTATATATAGTAGGTAGCTGTTCTGAATCCTCTATTTCGTATCCTTTTATCGAGCGATCAAATACTTAAACACTTATAAAATACTGTATGAAATACACTTATATGATTGTTTAAACTATGTCGTATAAATATTTACGACGAGTGCTTAAAATAWTGCGATGAAAGTAGTTTCAATTTGACCAACGAGTTTCAAAACCATTTTAAGTAGGTACAAGGCTGATGTAAAATATATAATATGCATGTACAAAAAGTTTCAAATTATTATTAAATAAAGTATTATAAATTTAACATTAGTCATTTCATTTTATAATTTGTAATATTAATGATTATTAGTCTCGATTCAGATTTCTCTCAAGTGCTATTCTTTTGATTATAATTCATTTTTTTTATTATTATTTTAGATATTGCGAAACTTATAAAACAATTTATACGCGCAATTGTCGCTAATTTAAGCATATTTTTCCGTCAAAAATAATTTTTACCACAAAATATTAAACCTCATACCACCGTAAAACTTAAATCARCTTCATTTTGCTTGTGATATATAATAATAAYTTAGTTTATGTATTGTTACGCCACGGTTTATTCGAAAAAAATATGTAGTAACATAAATACTTACTTCAGCCGGAAACGAGTAACCCTGGATTTTATGTTCGGACCCGAGATTGTTATCGGTGCCAAAGTGTATGTAGAACTCTTGAAATTGATAACGATAAGTCAGTGGACCTTCAGTGATGTTCAAAACGTATTTCGACTCTTTATCCACTCTGAATACCAAAGACTGTCCAGTATTTTCGATTGTTCCACTGACCTATCATGTCAAACAGATTAATTATATAGTGAACAACGAACGTTGTTATTCAAATAAAATATATCCAACAGAAAATGATTGATTAAATATTTTTACTTCTTTTATGAGCGTGAAAGCGAGTGCATCCACCAGCTAAACTATCATAATATATTATGATTTTTGAGAATTTAATTTTAAAAAGTACCTGATAATTCCAATTGTTATCAGTAGAAATGTTATTGTTTATTTAAACGAGTTGTTTGTGTGTGTACGTGCGCACGTGGGTAGAAAAAAATACCAAAGAGAGCAAAATTAATGTAGTCGGCCGAGTTATCAAGACATTATAATATTATACTCTGACATAATATTGCTTTCCGTTTCAAAATCCATTTTTCATAAAAAAAATAATAATAATGATACGCGTCAGAATATCGTATGCAGCATATACCATATTATATAAATAATATGTATATATAATATATGTGAAATGTGTACAACTTKAAAATCCTGATTCCAGACAGATTTTATTATTTTTCCGTCAATCCTTGCATAATATTCGGGGATATATATTTATATATAAAAAGAATTCTACTGAATATGATATTGCCGTTAAATTGGGCGTGGTAGCTACAAAAACATGATGGCTGTAATATATACATATACTCTCACTTTGTCTTTATCGATGTGAAGATTTTTCAAAAATGGATCAAACAGCAGTTTATCCGGATCAATATCAATCGGAGATTGTCGTTTGCCAATTGAGCATAACTTCCACAGTGGGTTTAGAACACCCCAATATTTTGGCCCTGAAAAAATACATAAGTTTTAAGTAGGTATACACGCTACACAGTATGTGTTCGAATATAATTGTGATATTCTAGTGACACCACTTAAGTACAGCTAAGGGTCGTCCACCTAAAAATTAAYTATACAACTATACAATATCAGATTATAATTTTTAACGTTGTAACTTATAAGTTTACACGAGGATATTATAGTATATTGTTTCATAATCGTAATTGCATATTCGTATAGTAACATAATTATTCTTTTTAAATCATTAACATTTATGATATTTTAAAAATATACCTGTAATTTTAAGTTTAAATGCGTTTGTATTATATTTTACTAAATCTTTTATGCTTTAGATACTTTGTATTATGTATAAAATGTATCTAACCAAGTCTTATAAAAACGAATACTTAACTTAAGTTCAGTTGCCACCTATGCAATAACATCCAACTCACTAATAAATATTCTATTACGTTGTTCGGAACTTTACCGTACTTGTATCTTTAAGAGCATCAGTGTTTTTGAAACTAAAATCTACAAACTCGACCCAGTAAACATTTTCTTAAACAATAACGTTCAACAAAATATTAGTATAGTATGAACTGTACTTTTTAATATTTCAGGTGATTTATCAAAATAATAATAATATAAATATTAATATATATAATAAAGTAAGACTGATTGTTTTATTCTAAATTATTACGAAAAAAATCTCATTAATTTTCATAAAATAATTTTAGGTAAGTTAACGAAAAAATAAACGCTATTCGCGAGTCTTTTAACTTCCACCGAAAACCCATTTCCGTGACTGCGAAACAAAAGCTTAACATAGTTGTTTTGAAATTACGCGTCAACATTAATTCACGTTTATTTATATTGTTCTCCTTTGTGTAAAGTCTAATATGACGAAACATGATCTACTATTCATTAAAGTACACTGGTGATACTCTCAATATAACATTAAATTAGCAATACGATATTATCCAAAGAAATTTTCACATTATTCACAAAATAATTTTTCTAATAAWAATAGGGTTATATTTTTTTGTAAAATTAATAGATAAGTAGTAAAAATCAATTATTATTTATTATTACTATTTATCACTAGGTATTTATTAATGACTAAATATGATTCAGCACAGGCACACAACAATAAAAAATATGAATAAAACTAKTTTACAAATTAATTCGAAAAACATTACATTTGATTATTATTTTATTTTTTTTCTAATTTTAGTACATTCATTATATGTATAAATGATGGTAATGTTTTTTTTTTTTTTTAAATTTGGAACTTGAGTAGAAAAACCACACATTCAATCAATTAATCAGTATCAACAATCCTGAATTTAAAACCTCAGTAATTAAAATTAAATATAAATTATATTTATTGATACTCTACAATAATAGTAGGTATATGTGTTATTTAACGTTGTTTAAAAATGTAGAAAAACGAATGGCCTAAGCTACTAGAATTGAATTAGACCAATAAAATAAATATTTGATATATTATATTTGGTACCATGTAGAAACGTAAAATTGACATTAACGTGTATATACTATTCAATTATTATTAATTATTATATAATTGTCAAGTGAATTTACGCAAGTTAAATTTGATTATTTTGTTGTCTACCAAAAAAATATATTAAAAGTAAAATGTATATTTTAGATCCATTAGCGAAGGRATGAATTTATAGCTTTTACGACGATGTGTGTGTTTTTAAGTGTGTCTTAGGATAATTTTTATAAAAGAAAAATATCTTCTACTTGACAATTCAAATTTTCTAGTAGGAACTCTAATCTTGTTGATATTTTTGGGTAGTCGAAATAAATAAAAATTTCTGTCCAAGTACTTTTCAAAATAATCAACATCTGCAGATTACTGCTTGCAATGACCATTATAGAATCGTTAATTAAATATTCCTGTTAATAGATTAATTGGAGCATGCATAAACAAATACAGTGACAATGATATAATAAAACATAATTTACATTGATTAGGTAGGTAGTCATTGTATAATAAATAAATAATTAATCATTAAATGATTTATAAAACTATTAGAAGAATTTAAAAAAATCAGTTTCAGAACGTTTAGAATATTATGTTACTATTACCACATAATATGATTACGTAAATTAATAACAATAACGTCTTTGTCAACCTTCAGAATTCTACAATAATATAAAWTTTTTATTGAAATTTTAGTATTTTAATAAATAAATAAAGTCTGTATGTCTGTATTGAACCAAATAACATACAATTTGACTTGAATTGTAGTTTAAATCCCTAAGTTAATAATTACATTTTGATGGTTTTATGACTTATGTACAACCATTAATTGATCATAAATAATGTGCACAAATAATTATAAGCCTGATCAAAATGAAGATTATTTTGTTTTTAGTACAATTATTTTTTTTTTTCAATGGTTTTAATTTCGAAATATAAGTGCGTACAGCATTAAATGTGCGAAAATTGTTTTATTGCTAATATAAAGAGAAATGGTTAAAACAACTTCGTAAATAAAATKAAAACTTTGAGTAATACGCAAAATGCATTAAATACAGTTGGTGCTAGACTGTTGCAATTCAAATAAAAAATTAAAATTGGTTATGCMCTGTCAAAAAATATAGWATGAACATTAAAAACTTATCTCTTCGTTATTTGATGTCATTGTTAGATAACATTTTAGAAAAAACAATTTAATTTTATAAAAATTTTTCCTTTTTCCAATCACRGTATAAATTTTAATTTCATACTTTGCAAGAAAAATATTGTTCTGAGTACTTTGATACGATATAAAAATGAAATTAGTACGAGTATCTGGGTAATATTATTATTTATAACTTTTTACTTATAAGTATGTTTAGTTAATTACAGATTGTATATTTTAACATTTCTAAATAAAAAAAAAAAGTGTATAAAATTTAAATGAACAGAGTAGTAGACGAACCTATTGTGGAGTACTCCTGCAGTGACACGATTAAAATGAAAAAGATACGTAACACTAAAAAATATAAAATATAATTATTTCTCAAAAATGATATAAAGAAATATGTTCAAAAGAGTTAAAACAAATTTTAAATATTAAATGGAGACACTTGAACGGATCCCTTGTTATTAAGATATTCTACTGTAAAGTTCTGGGTAGTGTTTATAAAAGTGATTTTAACATAATTAAAACAATTTAAATTATTTAAGAAAAAACAAACACGAAAGCCAATACTGATAGAGAAGAACGACAGTGTCTCGCATTAAAAAGCAATATACCGACCGCGGTCATTTATAGAATCGCATGAATAAACTGACGATAATCTTATATAATAAAATAATAATAATAAAACGTTATACGCTGGGGTAATCTGATGGTTCGGAAAATCTCGAGTTTGATCATCGGTGTACCTATAGCTATGCACTATCAGTGCTGTACTAAATCGCTGTGCGGTCGTGGACGTGACGTACGACGAACCCTCGGTACCGTGAAATTGAATTGGTCTGTTTATGTATAATCTATATACATATATTTAAATATATTACACACACACGTTCGACCCCCCCCTCGCTCGTCACGTCAAACCTTATATCCGTGTCCGCTTGAAGCACGCTGACGACGCGACGCCAGTACGACTATATAATATATATACGTAAATATACGTAATCCACCTGCAAACCCTGCACCTGCTTCTCCTATACACCGACACCAATTCCATCGTGCTCACTCGCACTCACCGTCTCGATCCCCATCTATGCATCGTACGACTCACATAAATATATTATAATATGTTCAAATAAAGACCTCGTTCGTACAAAGGGTTAAACGCGTATAATAATACGGCGTGCGTGTTTCGGACGCGGGCTCGTGACGGCCGTTCGATTCCCAGCGTGCTGCCGAAGACCGACTTTCAAGCCCACCGGCCCGATCGAATCACAGTCACCCCTCGTTCCAACCATTGAATACCTCTACGACTAACAATATAATAATTTATCGACGTTTAGTGTCTGTGATGAGGGGTGACTGTTTCAGTTTTTATTTTCTATTATGATAATTTTATTCGCTGTCGTTTTTGCGACCACGACCTTCCGTGGTGAATCRGARACGTCGTCTTTGCAAGTTATCATGGTGTAGATAGTAAACTATCAAGCCTTCTACAGTGGCGACTTACTGACAATAAGACTTGACTTTAGCGTAAATATAAATTATAATACATACGCTATCGGTGAGGTTATTCATTAAATATCAATACCACAGCATTCAACCAATGCTCACCACCATTTTTTCTATTATCATTCCTTATTAAAATTCTAATTTTTGAAATTTTTGAAAATAATTATACTAAATAGTACCTTATTTTCGATTACTTGGCGGTACAAAAAGTTATTTTTCAAACGAAAATCATCCGTTTTTATGACTAATTTATTAAACCSATGATTTTATAAATATATATTTATTGTGTCTATGAATCAAAATCATTACGTTTACTTACCATTTTTTTTAAATTTGCTGAAGTACAACGGATAGTTRTTCATGATAACAGGTTTYGAAAATATTAAGGCTATTATAATTAAAAAATTAWAATATGTAAACACCATATGAATAAAATAAGTACTTGGCTAAATATTACATATATTTTACATGCTATGCAAAATCATTATTAATTGCTATTATTCTTAGTACATAAATTTTAATATCTCAGAAACTACTCGTTCAATGTCGTTTAGATACATAAAAAAATACGTACTTATYATTTATTAACATCGCATAGATTGTATCTATTTGAAAAAAGGGAAAGATTGTAYTGTCACAAAACACTATCCTTAAACGGTAAAAAATAAAAATAAATCAAAAATATTGGATAACAATATAGCACTTAAGGTATTTGAAATTTATATAACATAAAAATACATTAAGCGGTTAAAAAAGTAAAAACAATGGAATGTTTGGCAATACATATTATATAATATATTCAAACTTTAATGTATGTATATATTGTATATGTTTATTTTACTCCC